TTGATATCATAGTTTGTATCTTTTTATGTTGTATATCCCCTAAAAAATTTTTGTAGCTATTATTTTTAGTAGTTTTGTCTTTTAACCTTCAAACTAAAGATATAAGTGATTTACATACAACTATTATAGTATTAGAATATTTTGAATTGAACTCTGTACCCACTTTTACCAGTGAGTTTTATACTTTCATATCTTTTTGTCTCTTTTACCTGTTTGATAGCAGATAGTTGTGCTTTTTGTGCAGTCTGATAGATACTGCCTTTTAATTGGTGTATTCAGAAAATTTATATTTAATGTAATTATCAATATGCTTGGATTTATACATGCTGTTTTGATTTTTGTCCTCTAATTGTCCTATTCATTTCTTTTTTCCTCTTTTACTGCCTTATTTTTTGATTGATTAAATATTCTATATGATTTTTTTTCATTATTAACTTTTAAAATTTAATTGCTGCTATGTTTAAATTCAGGTTTACTATTTTATTATTCATTTTTTCTGTGTTCTCTCTGTTTTTATTCCTGTTTCCCTTTTCTCCTTTTTGTTATTTTGAACATTTTAAAATCTTATCTAATATGATTTTGACTGTATGCAGTATGATATATCATATATATGATATATGATATATATTATATATATTTGTTACTATATGTGATTGCTGTAAGGATTACAAAGTACATAATTAACTTTTATTAACTTTTTATTATCTGCTTATAATCAATATTTTACCACATGGGTTAGAACATAGAAACCTTAGCACATTATAGATATCTTTACTCTCTCCCTATGCTATAGTTTCTTATGTATTACATCTGCATACAATGAAAACCCCACAAGGCCATGTTATTTTTGCTTTCAATCATCAAATATATTTCAAAAAACCCAAGAGAAGGATAGTTTATTATATTTACCATGTTTATTCTTCCACCATCCCAAGTTGCCTTTTACTACTTCCTTTCTGTCTGAAGAGCTTCTTTCAGTACTCCTTATGGAGCAGTTCCTTAACAATATAGATTATGGTAGTTTTTCTGCATCTGAGAATGTATTTATTTCACAGTCATTCATGAAGGATATTTTTGCTGGATATAGAGTTCTGAGTTACAGTTATTTTTAAGCACTTTAAAAATGTGGGACCACTTCCTTCTGGCCTCCATGGTTTCTTTATGATAAAGAAATTCAGTCACTTGAATTGTTGCTCCCCTGTAAGTAATTTGTTATTTTTCTCTTGCAGCTTCCAAGATGTTTTCTTTATCTTTAGTTTTCAGCAGTTTGTTTATGATGATTTTGGTGTGGATTTCTTTGAAAATATCTTGTTTATGGTTTGCTCAGCTTCTTGAATCTGTAGGACTACTAATTTATTAACTATGCCTTTTTGTTTTATATTGCAATCGTTGCTTTTTGTTGTACAGTATACATCTTTACTCATCAGATTCTTCCTTTAAATAGTGTCGTATAGCTTTGTATATAGTGTCACCCACAACATTATAACTGCATTTTCCTTTTTCATCTTGAGCTAGTATCATATCTCTATATATGTTACAAACACCACAGTACATTGTTATAATACTTGTTTTGAATAACAAATTATTACTTTATGGAGAAAAACGAGAGATGTCTTTTATATTTATCCACATATTAATTTTTATCTACACTTTTCATTTATATATGTAGATTAAGATTCCACCTATTATCAGGTATCATTTTCATTTAGTCTGAAGAACTTCCTTTGTCATCCCTTGTTTTTGCCTGCATACTTCATTTTGGATAGTTTCTCTTTCCATATTTTAGGTTTACTCTTTTTTCCTGCTATATTGTCTAATCATGCATTAATTCTGTTCAATATATTTTTCATTTTAGATACTGTATTGTTTATCTATAGGCATTCCATTTTAGTCTTTTTAAATTTTCCATTTCTCTCTTCATCATACTTATATTTTCTACAATATTATTGAACATACTTGAGCATATTTTCAATAGTTTTTAAAACATTCTATTCTGCCAATCCTATTTTTTGTGTTTTTTTCTGGGTCTGTTTCTATTGACTGGTTTTTCTTTTTTTATGGGCCATATTTTCTTTGCTTTCTGTACTTGTTAATTTTTAGTGCATTTTGGACATTGCATATTTTTACTTTGCTGGTTGTTGGGTTTTGCTGTATGCCTTTGAGGAGTGTTGGACTTTGTACTGACATACAATTAAGTTACCTTGTACCAGTTTTGGCATTTTGAAGGGTTGCTTTTGAAGCTTGTTAGTGGATCCAGAACATCTTTTAGTTTGTTGCTCTTAGTTTATTGCTTTTAGTTTATTCCAGTACTACAGACCTTCTCAGGGATGCTATCTAATGCCTCCTGTAGTGTGAGGTCTTTCTTTTATTGCTTGGAGCACAAAATATTCCCAGCCTTGTGTGAGGTCCTAGAGTTGTTTAGCCTACTAGTTTTTTGGTGGTTCTTTCCATAGCCTCAAGTAATTTCCCCTTATGTGTATTCAGATCACTACTCAGCTAAAGACCCGAGGGAACCTTTCTCCAGACCCCTTGAGTTTTGTCTGTGAGCAGTTACCTCATCTCTACAAATTCTATCTGGTTTGGTTTCTTTAAATTCTAATGTTTGTTTTCTCAACTCAAAGAGATCACCAGACTCTCTCTGTGATCCCCCTTCTTGTGCAGAAGCCAGGGCATTGCCTCCAGGCAGTATGCTCTGGCAATCACGGAGCTTGCTTTGTTTCTCTTCTTTTGAATCATAGTTTTGTGCTGTCACAGAATCACAGGTCTATGCTGCTTGTTATCCAGTATCTATAAACCGTTTTTGATATATATATCTATATATATATATATAGATATAGATAGATATCTCTATATATCTATATATATAGATATATATATATATCTATATATATAGATATTTCTGTTTTTAGAGTTGTTTATGGTAGGAAATGAAATGCTCTCTAAATAGATATAGATAGATATCTCTATATATCTATATATATAGATATATATATATATATATATAGATATTTCTGTTTTTAGAGTTGTTTATGGTAGGAAATGAAATGCTCTCTAAATTACTCCATCATGGGTTAATGAAAAACTGTTGGTATATTTGAGTCATTTTTGCTTTTGACTTTTGCAATATTGTCCTGAGTTAGTTCATGTATTCATGTATCTGTTTTCACAACTATCTTTTCTCTTTAATGAGTTACTTTTGAACCAAGGATTCACTTTTTATAAATTGGGATTATGACAGAGCACACTACCAAATTAAAGACAAAATTCATGCATATGCAAATAATAACATACAATTGATAAGAAAATACTTTTTCTGAAGTAACCGACATTTTGCTACCTTGACTGTTTACTGAGACCAACTGATTTCTTATAGTGTATATACATTTCTAAATGCAAAACATAAGAAGAATATAATGAGAATGTGGATGATAATTAATCTTACATTTCAAGTTTGTCTCCTATATGTGAAAAAAATTCTTATTTTTTTTATCTGAAACTACTTTTGATGTGCTTCTTAATTTTTTTACTCTAATTTTTTTTCAGTTGTAAAGAGGTAATAGCAATAGTATGCTCCTCAAAGGGTTATTGTTTAATGAGATAATGAGGTAATTTCTGAGACATAGTATAACTCTGTTAGATGCTGCTGCTGCAGATGACTGCAAGGTTGTTTATTGCATTACTGTTTTAAAGAGCAAATTGAAACCCAAGTGCATAACAATGTAGTTATTTAAACGAGTTATGCATTATTAATGCAATGGATTTGGCTGTTAAAAAAGTAATAAGTAGGACATAGAAAGATACCCCAAATGTTTTGTTAAGTAAAAAATAGCTGCAAAATAGTACTTTTGGGGGGTACAAATATTTACATATATTTATGTACATGTAGGTCGCATATGTATACTAAAATATTCAAAAGTATAGTTTGAAAATGGTTTGAACATAACAAATTTTGAAAAATACTTCCAGATAGTGAGCTTGGGGAGAAAGCAACTTTAACTTTTACATTATACGTCTCTTCATTCAATAATTTTTTTGGTAAGGAAAAAATTTATCTTATTAAAAAGAGAATGAATAAAAATATGAAAAATCTTTACTTTGGATATGTATGTATGGCTTTAACAAGTAGTTAAAGAATAGTAATCAAATTATTTCTGTTAAGTTATTATTTATTTTGTTCTTTGGAAATTAGCTCCTAAATGTAATGCATAAGTACTACATACATAAGTACTATGAAGTTCCTTTAAATATGTAAAGTACAATTGGGTTCAGTGACTCTTTCTTGATACTTCCAATTCCTTATGACCTCTGAAGAATCACTTTTTTTTTACTACTTTAGAATTGTGTAAATGTTTAGAGTTTTTAAGCATCACCTTCATTTTCTGTTAGTTGATTTGGGTATTCTCAATGAGCTGTCTAGAATGCCATAGTTTACATGATCAGTTAGAGGGAACATGGAGGTGTGGTTTGGGTGCATTTTTAAAGACTAATAGATTTCAATATAGTTTCTCTTTATATAATCTAATTTTTCCAAGGCCAAGAAACTGCATGTTTTTTCTTTTTAATGTGCATATTGTTATAAGCATGCCTTGCATATGGATGGTTTCTATCAGTGATTCTGCAGTAGGAAGTGAGTCTCTTCTAGATATAGCAAGCAGAATTGGATTTAATACAAGAAATTAATTACAGAAGTGCTAAAAGGGCTAGAGACACCAAAGGAAAGGGGATCACCCGGAAATCTGGAATCTGCTACACACCTGGGCTGAAGCCTGTGATCACATTTGCCACTGAGCTACTAAAAGTGCCCCTTCTGCCACTGAGCAGCAGCTGCCCCTGCTCAGTGTTATAAAGCTACTACTGCTATTAACCACTGTGATCACCTGCCTGTTCCTGCTGCTGGAGAGAAAAGCAGACTTTTTTTCTCTTGCTGGTAGTTTTGGTGATATATTAGTTGCATTTTTAAATACTACTTGAAGTTCATGATTATCTTCTTTCTGTTACAGCATCAAACACTTGGCTTGTTCCAGAAACTAAAGGAGCTATTGTACAAGGTGGATATGGCCATACCAGTGTGTATGATGAAATAACAAAGTCCATTTACGTTCATGGAGGTTATAAAGCATTACCAGGCAATAAATATGGATTGGTAGATGATCTTTATAAGTATGAAGTTAACACTAAGACTTGGTGAGTACATTGGGTAGATGTACGATAAGGAGAAATTTTGACATTAGTTGTACTTTATATTTGTATAATAGTGGTGTTTACTGAATATTTTTGGTGGGAAATTCCTGGACTTTTTCCATCTTTATTTCAACTAATGATATGCTATCATTTAACAATGGCACAAATTAACACATTTTCTGTATACCCATCATTACTATGAATGGTTTACTTTCAAATGGTTTCTGATCCCTTATTCTGTATGCATTATTTATTCTGTATGCATTATTTATTCTTTTAAGGGCAGATATCATGTGCATTTTATTCTGTATGCATTATTTATTCTTTTAAGGGCAGATATCATGTGCATTTTAGATGAGAAATTTTGTTTACCAGTATAACTTTGAGCTTTGATATCATTTGTCTTGGGATTTATTCTTCTTTGCATTCACATTTATTGTCATTTGTAAATTTTAAAAAGCATTTCTTCAGTTTCATTATCTAACTTCCTGTGCAATACAAAGCTTTTGGCTTTTAGGTACATTTTCATTTCTTGTTATAAACAGTGCTACACTGCACATCTTGTTCTGGTTTCCTGATGCACATGTGCAAGAGTTTCTCTAGGGTATATATTTAAAAGTGTAATTACAGTGCTTGAGGGGATTCACATTCTCAACTTTATTACATGTTGCCGAATTGCTTATCCAAGTCACTGTGATAATATACACTTCTACCAGCAGGGTGTTAGTGTCCCTATTTTTTTATGTTCTCACCAACATTTGGTAATTTTGAGACTTTTTCCTTTTGCCAATGTGATGGGTGTGACTGGTATCTCACTGATATTTCAATGTGCATTTCTTTGATTATTATTGTGAATAAGCATCTTTTTATGTGTTCATTTGCCACCATGTTTTCTGTTTAGTGAATTGCTTATTCATATCCATAATATTCTATTTACATTTGAAATATTATTCATTAATTTTTCACTTATTGATTTTCTGGGTATATTAGTTTTAAAATAGAGTTTTTGTTGTACTGATTGCCCTTTGTAAAATCTGTAAAATTACTCCTTTTTTGTTTTATGGCACTCTATGTTCATTTAAACTTCTAGCATGAAGTTACTTTATGAGTCTAAAGGAAAAACACAGTTTTCCACCAAATTGTGATTTGTTCCACCCCCTTCATTTTCCAACATATACCTAATTTCAACTTTCATTGAAAAAAAAAAAAAGATGGGATCCTAAGACTTTCTTTCGGTGATTTTGTTAATTCTCATTTTTTTAGTCTAATAAAATGCAGAATTATTCTCTATATTTTATATCTATTACAATGGATAAACCTATTTTTTTATTTTAAATAGCTTACACATTTTATCTTATTTCCTATTGCATATTTCTTTTTCTTTTTGACTTTTTGCTGTCAGTGAAAGGCATTGTTTGTTGTATAGTGATTAAAGTACTATCAGTCTGCTTACCATATTTTTGCATATATTGTAAATATTGTGTCATACCAAAAAGGGAAGGATAACTTCTGCATGAAGAAAGCAACAAAGTTCACATTAATAATAATTAGTATAGTAATGCTGAAGGAAGGATCTTAGAAATAAATGGATAAGAGAGCAGAACTAGGTATTATTTGAATGAAGTCAAAATGAGAAATTTAGTTGTTGCTCATCACTTGAATGGAATTTTCTAAGAATTTACATGCTTTCCTACCTGAACTCTTTCTGTAGTGAACTTATAATAGAAGAATATAAACATCCATCTTGGCAATTGTAGTACATGCACAAATAATATTGGATACTTGTCCTGTAGGAGAATTTAATAAAATAATTTGTAAATTATTTTGAGCAACTCATTACAAATATGCTATAGATATGTATGATGCTTTAGTATTTTAATGCATCTTCAGCTCATCAGTGAGCTCTAAATTGAATTTTCTATGATCCTTAAAATTTGTAGCATTCTTAAAGTTTTGTTGTTTTCTGTTAGTTTATTTGACAAGTTTGCTGTTATCTGTGGATTATATTGTTTGCCAGGCTTAGTTGCCTAATTTGAAATAATTTTAAAGTGTCACTATTAGGTGTTTATTGTATAGACTAATCTTTAATTTTTACTACCTCTGAACTGGTTTTATTTTTTAGTAGATATGGTTAAGTACACAGGTCACTTTGTCGCGATTTTAGGAAATGTGCATTTGGAAGAATTCTTCTTTTTCAATGGTGAAATGGATTATTTTTGACTGTTACAAGGTTACTTCAAAAAGTTCATAGAAAATAGAATTAAAAGATAATACAAATATTTCCATGAACTTTTTGAAGTACCGTCATATTTTCATTGATAAAAAGTAGGAATTATATCTGTTTAAAGCATCAGAGAACTATAAAGGCAGTGAGAATTTGCCAAGATTTAGGACAGGAGGAATGTCAAGGGAGGTGAGCCTGGCATTTCATGCAACTTTCATCCTTGAGACATTTATAAATCCTGAAAACTGCCTGAGAATCTGATCAGTGCTTTTATCAGTCCTAAGGAAAACCAAAATTGGATTTCCAGATGTGCCAAGGAAGAGGATCCTTGGTACATTCTTAAGGACAGTCTGGTTCCTCAAGTTCTAAACCCTACTACTAAGAATGAACCCACCTTTTAATCATCACAATCTTTCATTATATTTCATTAGAAGGATAAAGAAAATAAATAAATGATAAAGGAAGGGAATATGAAATAAGACCACAAATTAATGAAATAGAAACAAAAATATGATAGAGATGATCCCTAAAACCACCAACAATAAATAACATTTGTTGTTTGTAAAAAGTAATAAAATAGATAAATACCCATGTAGACTTAGGGCTAAAGATTATACTCAACCCATGTCAAGAATGAAAAGGGATATCACTACAGACTGTACAGATATTAAAAGTTAATAAGAGCATGTGATAAGCAACTGCATGACAGTAAATATAAAAAATTGAATCAACCACGACAAATTTCTAGAAAAATAAAACTTACGAGAATTGACATATGAAGAGATAGAAAATTGGAATAATCTTATGTCAAAGAAATAGAATCTGTAATTGAAAACCTCTAGCCTCAAAACAAACAAATATACATACATACATACAAACAAACAAATAAAAGCAAATCAGAACAAAAAACTCTCCAGGCTCAGATCACTTCACTGGTAAATTGTCTCAAATATTTAAGAAATAAGTATTTAAGAAATAAGCAACACCAATCTTTTACAAACTTTCAGAAAACAGAAATAATTACCTTGAGATTTAGGAGGCTAACATATTCTTGATATAAAAATGTAAAAAGGATATTAAAAGTAAGGAAAATTATGATGTTATTTTTTTCATAAACATAGAGAAAAAAAATCAGGTAATTGTAGCACTTTATGAAAAGGATAATAGATCATGAGTTCATTATAAGAATATAAGGTTAGTTAAAAATTTATAAAATCTGGATAATTAAAACAGTAAGAGTAGAGAAGTAAAGCTCTATAATACCTGGAAAAAAATGCAAAAAAAAGTTTATTTAATATTTAATATATGTTTATGATAAAAACTCTGTTGAACTAGGAATAGAAGTAAATTATCCACATGGCAAAAGGTACAAATGGAAAAAGTTTTACTGCAAAAATTATAGTAAAATATAGAAGACTATCCCTCTTGATTGGGAATGAGATAAGGGTGCCCACTATCACCTCTTCTATTCAACATTGTATCGGAGTTTCCACCCAGTGAAATAAGGCAATTAAAGTAAAATATCATATATAAAAAGTCAATCAAATGTGATTCTGTATACCAGAAACAATTAAAAAATGATAATTTAAAAGCCATATAACTTATATTACTATCAGAACATTGACACCTAATGAATGAATCTAATGACATATGTACAGGATTTTCACACAGAAAACTATAAAACCTGATTATAGGACATTTAAAATAAATGTCTAGATAAATGGAGACTACATGTTTGAAAAACTTATATTGTAGAGATAGGTATGCTGCCCAAATTGATCTATAGTTTTAATGTAATCCCAAATAAAATTGTAGCAGGTATTTTATTTGGATATTGACATGCTGATTCTAAAATTTATACGGGTATAAAAATGCAAAGGGCCAACTATAGCTTAAACAAATTTTAGAAGTACAGATAAAGGTGAGTATCTTCACAGTCATGGATAAAGAAAGATTTCTTAATAGGATTTATGCAGTATTATTAATAAAGGAAAAATGATAGACTGAACTATATTTATATGTCTAAAAATGTCAGTAAGAAGGTGAAATAACAAGATACATTGTGGGAGATATTTGCGATGTATAAAGCCAAGAAAGCACTCATGTCCTGAAAATATAAGCAATAAGAAAATGTAAGACAACTCAACATAGAAATGAGCAAGAGACTTGAACAGGCATTTCACAAAAAAAGATATCCAAATGACCAAAATACATATTAAAAAGTGCCCAACCTTATTAGTCACCATAGCAATTTAAATTAAAACCACATTGAGGTATGAACTAGTATTTCTACAATGAACTAGTAATTCTACTGTGAACTAGTAGTTCTACCCATGAACTGGTAATTCTACTTTTAGTTATATAGCCAACAAATGCATATATGTGTGCACTACAGTTATACAGAAGGATATTAATGATGGTTTTGTTTGTAATAGTCAATAACTGGAAACAAATGAAATGTTCATGAACAGTTCAATGGATAAATTGTGTATTCATACAGTGGAATGCTATGTAACATTGAAAATGAAAAAAATTGTCTCTGTATGAATCTGCGCAGTTGTTGACCAAACGAAGCCAGATGTAAAAAGAATACAGAGTATATTATTCTATTTATATAAAGTTTAGCACCAGGAAAAACTAATCTGTGGTCTTAGAAGTTATGATGAGGATTTCCTTTGGCTAGGAATAATGGGTAGTGATTTGGATGAGCAACAGGGAAGCTTTTGGAGGGTTTATACATGTGCTCACTTTGTGATAACTCATTGAACTATACACTTAA